AATACAATTATATAATTATATTCATATAATCATGTTAGAAACGATATAAGTTTAAATTTATATAATATTAATACTACAATTATAATGACTTAAGCTTATAAATTAATTTAGTAAAATACAATTATATAATTATATTCATATAATCATGTTGAAAATGACATAAGTTTAAATTTATAATAATATTAATACTATGATTATAATGACTTAAATCTTATAAAAAGTAGTTGCATAATTATATTCATACAAATATATATATAATATCTTTAGAGAGAAAAAAAAACCTTTTCCACCATGTCTGAAGAAATCAAAAACAATATGATCAACTTTTTTTAGAAAAACAACAGAAATATTTCTACAATTGTTTTTGAACATAAATCATGTACTGCAACGATTACTTTAGTTGACAATACTATTAGGGTTATCAATTTGGATGCATCAGATTACAATTCGCCAAATAGTAGAAATAATAATAATCAGGTAAATTTTATTATACATATTAACGAATTATTAATATATATTAATATATATTAATTATAATAATTATTATATTTAATTAACAGCATATTAGAATTGGCTTATTACTTAGTAATGAGCCCAGCAATATTAATAATACTACTGACTCTCCTGCTACTAATTATCCACTTACTGAAGCACCTTCAGCTGCTATCGCTTCTCTAGTCACTCTTATTACACCCATTGGCACAAGTACTAACAAGTATAACAATTATAATAACAAGAAAACAATTATAATAACACTACTAACTCTCCTGCTGCTGATTATCCACCTACTAAAGCACTTTCAGCTACTGTCACTTCTCCAGCAACTCTTACTATACCTATTGTTACAAGTACTAATGATAATAATGAGCATAACGATAATAACGAGTATAATAATAATAATAATACTACTGACTTTTCTGCTGCTAATTATCTATCTACTGAAGCACCTTCAGCTGCTGTCGCTTCTCTAGCAACTCTTACTATACCCATTGCCACAAGTACTATCAATAATAATGAGCATAATGATAATAACGAGCATAACGATAATAACGAGCATAATGATAATAACGAGCATAATGAGTATAGCGATAATAATGAGTATAGCGATACTAATGAGCATAGCGATAATAATGAGCATAATGATAATCCTGTAAGTTCTAATTAATAAATATTAATATTTAAATAACAATATTTAGATACTAATAATTTTAATTAACAGTATAGTAGAACAGAAATTATCTGTAGAGCTTCGTCTAGTAACAAGTATAATAATCTTGTTATCTAGATAAAGTTTAACTATCATATTAGCAATGAAATTTTTTATTAAAATCTAAATAGTTAATTTTTATGATTAGCGCGGAGAAGCAGAAATTGGTCTTAAAACATCAAGCAATAATTCTGATAACTTTGTTAAATCTAAAAGAAAAAAAACAAAGAATAAACGTAAAGCTGATAGCGTATATAATCAACCTTTAAAACGAAAAGTATGTAAATATTAATTTTGGTAAATATGTTTAATTTAATAAATTATTAATTAAATACTTTACTTTTTTCTATAGCATATATTGATTGATTATGAAAATAATGAATCTT